CTTCATAAACATGTTTTGCAGCGACCATAAAAAAGTCATAACATGTCTCCTTTAAGCTTTGTGTGTATTTGATGTTCTTGCAGCACATGGCCACAGCGGACGGCCTGCTGACCCGCTCAGGGGGCTCAGAGAGACCCTTTGTCCTCTCTCGCTCCTTCTTTGCAGGATCTCAGAGATTTGGTGAGTGGTTTAAACGAATAACCGTCTGTTAATATCCCGTGTGGATCCCCGACTTAGCTGTTTGGTGCTGTGGCATGAATTTGGGATGCAGGAGCAATATGGACCGGCGACAACGTGGCCAGCTGGGACCATCTGAAGATTTCCATTCCCATGGTTCTGTCTCTGAGTCTAGCGGGGATCGTGTTTTGCGGAGGTGAGCGTGTCTGGGAATTAGCCCTGTTGGGTTTGACTGATGGTTTCTCAGGGTTTTGTCTGTCGTTGTGTTTCAGCTGATGTTGGGGGGTTCGTTCAGGATCCAGAACCAGAGCTGTTGGTGCGCTGGTACCAGGCGGCGGCCCTGCTGCCGTTTTTTCGGGGCCACTCAGACAAGAAGACCAAGCGGCGTGAGCCCTGGCTCTTTGGGGAGGAAGTCACAGCAGCGATCCGCGCCGCCGTCCAACAGAGGTGGCACCACAGAGACAAATAATGGTGGATGAGTTCTTAACTAGCTTTACTAGTACTCCTACACTAGTGACACGCACCCCCAACCCCCACAAGAGCGATGTAGTGATACACCGAAAGGCTCCCACACTGGAAAGTCAGCAATGAACCAGTAAAAGACAAATGGGAGCTGTGGTTGGGTTTAACACTGATATGGGTGTGGTGACTGTGCCACAAAGTGTTTCTGTAGGATGTGACATCCTCATCATCGTCTCCCCCCTTCCTTCTTCTCTGATCTCAGGTACCATTTGCTGCCCTACTGGTACACTCTGTTCCACTACGCCCACAACTCCGGCCTGCCTCCAGTCAGGTCAGTGTTGCTGCCACCTGCTGGTCAGGTGCAGACCTGCCACACGGGTCAGTCACCTCTATCTGCGTCTTTCACACTTCATCATTCACACAGTTTAATCGCAATGCCACGCGTTTCGTTGTGCAGACCTCTGTGGACCGAGTTTCCCAGAGAAGAACATACGTTCACTGAGGACAGTCAATACATGATTGGTGAGGACATTATTGTCTGTAATCATAAGATGTTATTATAGCTGGTTGTAAAACAGCTGCTCTGTGTCCTGTAGGGGGAGCCTTGCTCGCCTGTCCTGTAACACAGCCAGGAGTTGAGGAGGTCAGAGTCTTACTTCCTGGATCTAATGAAGTAAAACACTCATCATGGACTTGTATAGTTATTGTTTTATGAATTATTTGTGTGGTTTGAAAGTTCTTTTCTGTCTTAGATCTGGTACGACATCTGCTCTGGACAGGAATATGGAGGAGGCCAGACTCTGAGTCTTCCAGTCACCCTGGACACCGTCAGTCCTCTCAGTCACACTCTCCTGTAGGACAGGCAGTCAAAGCTCCAGACCATGCTTTAGTTTGATGTTTGCTTCAGACAGATTCCGGTGTTCCAGCGCGGCGGCTCGGTGGTCTGTAGATCAACAGGAAGTGGGACATGTGCAGCGGACTTCCAGCAGCTTCCTCTTACTCTCACCGTGGCCTTAAACTGTCAGGTGACAACCAGAGGATGTTGGGATCACGCTTCAACAGAATAGATTATGCAAGCTCAGAGGATTAGTTAATAATCTTAGTTTATAGTAAACACACCAACATGCATCTGCTGCCTAAACAGGCTGTAGTGGTCTGAGAGGTGATGTAGAAAATGCTACAGTTAAATTCAGACTAATGTTCATGTTTCCCCGCTCAGTGGTTCTAATGTTGTGGCTAATAACTAAATGAACGTATTAATCTCTGCCACCCTTAATTAACCGGATAATCAGGAGCCTGAAGTCAGCGGCTCTCTGTACAGGTGCTGGCCAGTAAATTAGAATATCATCAAAAGGTTGAAAATATTTCAGTAATTCCATTCAAAACGTGAAACTTGTACATTATATTCATGCAATGCACACAGACCAATGTATTTCCAATGTTCATTACATTTAAATTTGATATTTATAGGTGACAACCAATGAAAACATCAAATCTGGTATCTCAGAAAATTAGAATATTCTAAAGGCCAATGAAAAAATGTTTGTTTCTCTAATGTTGGCCAACTGAAAAGAATGAACATGAAAAGAATGTGCATGTATAGCACTCAATACTTAGTCGGGGCTCCTTTTGCCTCAATAACTGCAGTAATGCGGCGTGGCATGGACTCGATCAGTCTGTGGCACTGCTCAGGTGTTATGAGAGCCAGGTTGCTCTGATAGTCGTCTTCAGCTCCTCTGCATTGTTGGGTCTAGCGTATTGCATCCTCCGCTTCACAATACCCCATAGATTTTCTATGGGGTTAAGGTCAGGCGAGTTTGCTGGCCAATCAAGGACAGGGATACCATGGTCCTTGAACCAGGTGCTGGTGGTTTTGAAACTGTGTGCAGGTGCCAAGTCCTGTTGAAAGGTGAAGTCTGCATCCCCATAAAGTTGGTCAGCAGCAGGAAGCATGAAGTGCTCTAAAACTTCCTGGTAGACGGCTGCATTGACCCTGGACCTCAGGAAACAGAGTGGGCCAACACCGGCAGATGACATGGCACCCCACACCATCACTGACGGTGGAAACTTTACACTGGACCTCATGCAACGTGGATTCTGTGCTTCTCCGCTCTTCCTCCAGACTCTGGGTCCTTGATTTCCAAAGGAAATGCAGAACTTGCTTTCATCAGAAAACATAACTTTGGACCACTCAGCATCAGTCCAGTCCTTTTTGTCCTTGGCCCAGGCGAGACGCTTCTTGCGCTGTTTCTTGTTCAAGAGTGGCTTGACACACGGAATGCGACACCTGAATCCCATGTCTTTCATGAGTCTCCTCGTGGTGGTTCTTGAAGCGCTGACTCCAGCTGCAGTCCACTCTTTGTGGATCTCCCCCACATTTTTGAATGGGTTTGTCGTCACAATTCTCTGCAGGGTGCGGTTATCCCTAGAGCTTGTACACTTTTTTCTACCACATTTTTTCCGTCCCTTCGCCTGTCTGTTAATGTGCTTGGACACAGAGCTCTGCGAACAGCCAGCTTCTTTAGCAATCACCTTTTGTGTCTTGCCCTCCTTGTGCAAGGTGTCAATGATTGTCTTTTGGACAGCTGTTAAGTCAGAAGTCTTCCCCATGATTGTGGTGCCTTCAAAACAAGACTGAGGGACCTTTTAAAGGCCTTTGCAGGTGTTTTGAGTAAATCAGCTGATTAGAGTGGCAGCAGGTGTCTTCTATATTCAGCCTTTTCAGAATATTCTAATTTTTTGAGATACCAAATTTGGAGTTTTCATTAGTTGTCACTTATGAATATCAAATTTAAATGTAATGAACATTGGAAATACATTGGTCTGTGTGCATTGCATGAATATAATGTACAAGTTTCACGTTTTGAATGGAATTACTGAAATATTTTCAACCTTTTGATGATATTCTAATTTACTGGCCAGCACCTGTAGGTCTTAAATCTGGTGCATTACCGAAGTTAGCCACTAGAGGGCTACTCAGTCGAGGACTAGAGGAAGCTGTCTGCTTGTTAGTTTCTTTAAAAAAAGTGCTTTTAAAACACTATCAGACTCACAAGTGAGAGGTGAGGAGCCATTAGTCATTACAAAGGTTGCTGGCTAAAATCCCAGCTGCAGCCTTCCTGTGTGGACTTAGCATGCTAGCATGGGTTTCCTTCCACAGACTAAAACAAGCATGTCAGGTTACCTGGACTCTAAATTAGGTGTGAGTGAGTGGTGGGTGTTTGTCTCTGTGTGTCCCTGTGATGGACCGGGGACCTGTCCTAGGTGTCCCCTGGGAGTCTTTTGGTGCCTTAGAGCTGTTGGGGCAGTGATGATTGGTGAGTAGAGTGGTGATTGCTGTTACTTCCATGTGCAGGGCCGTGCTGCAGGTGAACTCTACCTGGATGATGGTCATTCCTTTGGTTACCGGGTCAGAAAGTCCCGTCTGCGCCGGTTCTGCCTGCGGTCGGGCTGCCTGCGCTGCAGGTGAGCCGCGCTGAATCTGAGGAGAGAAACTACCCTGTTCCGCTTTACTCAGTCTGGTTGTTTCACAGCCCTGCTGCAGATGATGGAACGTTTGACTGCGAGACGTTCATCCAGTCCGTTACTGTCCTGGGTTTGAGAGACAAACCATCCACGGTTGTCGTCCATGTGTCGGGTGAGGAGGACCCACCTTTGTTGGCCCTCACATAGCTCCAGAGCTCTAGATGAACTCAGATTGTTTCATGTTTAGCTACAGAAGAGATGTTATGTTCCAGCAGACCTTTAAGCTAAAATGAGAAGATAGTGAATTTTTCTTTGTCTCCTCCAGGTGCTGAGGAGACGTCTGCTGTGTTTGAGTATGAGGAGACCTGCTGCAGGCTGACGGTGACCCGCCTGAAGCTCAGCGTTCTGATGGACTGGCAGGTCCAGATGAGTTAACGGTGACTACGTCAGAGATACTGTATCAGACATCAGGGGGATTTAAGCTTTAATCACAAGTTTTTTTTATTGTAATTCACTCAGTCATAGCTAAGGATGAGCAGCTACAATCCATGTGTGACCCCCAAAGAATTTGATGCAGTTTTTTTCTGTTTGTCAGGCTTACCGGCCATGGTTGGTCTGATTCTCTCCCTCGTGTTTACTCTGGAGTTGAACACAACCCATCCTTGAATAAGTCTCACTCTTCTTTGAGATTCAATAGCTGTAAAGATGTCATGAATACAAATTATCCAGAGTAGTTTTGAGAGTACAGATAAGATAAAAGACAATATAACCCCTTAAACCTGATGGAAATCGAGACTGTCACGTTGAGAGCAGGAGGATCGGACCCAAAATGCCGAACACCAGAGTAACTCAAGGCAGGAGCGGTTGAATAAATGAAAATTCCTTTTATTAAGATGATGAGTGAATATCCAAACGGCAGGAAGCTGACTGACAAAAACAAAAGCTCATTTATGAGCAAGAACCTAGAATTTCTCGAGGGGGACAGAACAACACTGACAAAGACAATGGACCAACACACACTGACAAGACAGGGTTTTACACACACAGGGAAGCAATCAGGGAAACTGGTAGCAGGTGTGTGGGGTGTGTGAGCTGAAGGGATCAGGAGAGACTCAGGCCCTGTCCACACGTAGCCGGGTGTTTTTAAAAACGAATATCCGCCCCTCCAAAAACTTGCATCCACACCACCTCGTTTAAAAAAAAAACTCTGTCCACACGTACCCCGATAAATACGTTGTTAAGGACATGCCAGACCTGTAGGCGGCAGTACTTCCCCCGTTCTTAACCTCGTCTTTCGTCTGTGGTCTTCCGCAAGGAGCAGTAATTCCACTTGCAAACACAAACAAGCAAAAAGCGCTTGGACAAGTGATAAAGCGAGCGCAGCTCTGAGGGCATCCATGCTGCCGGCTAGTGTAAACACAGGTCGCACACGTGATGTCAGCATTTTTTTGTCGCGGAAAGTGACGTTGCGGACCTTAAAACTCCGGTTTTGTCTGTCCACACGCAGACACCCAAAACGGAGAAAACGCAGATCTTCACTTTGGCCGTAGTTTTTAAAAAGATCCGTTTTCGTGTGAAAAAACTCAGTTTTCGTGTGGATGACAGGCCAAAACGTAGAAAAATATCTACGTTTTGGCAGATCCCCGGCTACGTGTGGACAGGGCCTAACTAGGTGGGGAAGGAACACATTGTATTAAAGGGAGAAACTGACTGGATAATATAACTATACAGAGAATTAACAAACCTGAAACTAGACACCAGAACAAACATTAAATCTTCAGCTTGGGGAACTAAAGAGACAGGAACCAAAGGAGGGGGAATCAATGGGGAGACTAAAACTACTGGGATGGGATAACTAAGTATGAAGTGACTAGGGGGGAACCTGGAGGGCGAACTGGAGGGGGCTGGGGACCAAAAGGACACAGAACATGACAAAGACAGAAAAAAAACAAGAAAAAGTAGATTTTAGATGTGAAAAAAGTCAGATGACCCACTCAGTTAAAACTAGGATGTTGTTAATGATGGAGCTTTAGATCAGTGGTTCCCAAACTTTCCAGCTTCAGACCCACAAAATAGCTATGAAGACATGTGACCCCAGATTCATCTGATTAGACAAGAGAAACATGCTTAAAAAGCTAAATAATTCAGGAAGTAAGCAAAACCACTCTAGCTCTTGTTCACTTATATCAATTTATTACACTTTAGTTGAGTTCTTGTAACAATTATGCCAGAAATATAGCTTCAGCGATTTCTGGACATCATCTCAAGACCTCCTGAGTTGATTTTGGTGACCTAAAATGGGGTCCCACCCCTAACTTTGGGAACCACTGCTCTTGATGTTTTGGTCAGATGTTGAAAAGCAGGTGATGTAGCGTCTCACCTGGCTGTGGAGGGAGGACTCACCCAGACTTTTATTCCTCTGTTAAACTGGATGGATTTTAATGAAACTCACACAGGCTCTTAACCAGATGGTCGTCTACAGCTGATTAATGTTTGGAACCAGTCAGAATCAAGATGGCCACCCCAGCTAAGCAACATTAGCAAACATAAAAAGCTGTTGCTTTTGTGGATCTGATGTGTGATTTTGAGTGAGATCGTGTTACCTCGACCACAACAACTGAACCTCCATTGTTTTTCTACCTGAGACATGAAAGGTAGTTCTCTGCGTGGACTGCTGGGAATTTATTTGTTGGTGCTTTTAACCGGTGTTGTTTTTTTAATGATGGAAAAAAGAACTGAAGTGTGTTTTATTCCAATAAAAATCATTCAAAGCTTTCATTTCTCTGGTAGTCCATTCTCAGACAGGTAGTGATCACCTGTCTTACACTTGCCCGGATTTGTAGTTAAAAGGAACGTTCCTCCTCCCGTAGCGTCAGCCTGCTCCCGTTATGCTGAGACTGCTCGACGCTGAGCTCCATTGAGAACAGGTTTAAAGGGCTTGAATGCCTTCTGCTGAGGCAGGACTTCCTCTGACCTCTCTTTACACGCCCTCTGGTGTAGCCCGCTGGCCTTTGTGTCACCCAACAATGATGGCACCAGAGCACAGGCAGGGACACACCTTTGTTCCATCAGCCAATGGGAATGCTCTAAACGCACACCGTGATCTGTGAGCTTTTATGCATCTGTACATGCGTTTGCGTGCGTGTGACATTTACTCTGTGACGAAGGGGAGGGGGATGTCACCTGAAGAAGGAACCAATCAGATATTAGCTGTTTGGATTTATGCCAGAGTCTTTTGGCTTGTAAGACTTTCACACAGGTGGTCAACGCCAGACTTTCCCCCCCAAAAAATCCTCGAGAAAAGATGCCATACACACCGTCTGGCTTTTTCTGTGACCGGCTGATCCGGGAACGAGAAAGGAGAGACGGGGAAGGTTCTGTGAGCAAACCCGTCCGCTTTAACGGTCAGGACTACAACGCGCTGAGGCAGGAGTGCCTGCAGAGGAAGGGTCTGTTTGAGGATGACTCCTTCCCAGCCACCGTGGAATCTCTGGGCTTCAAGGAGCTGGGACACAAGTCCAACAAGGTCAAGAACATCGTCTGGAAGAGACCCAAGGTAGGGGGGTAATGAAGGGACATGTTGATCACGGAGTTAACTAAAGAGAGAATGAATGACTAGTGTTGATGCACAGCTTCAAAACCGGCATTTGTGATAAAAGAAGCTGGAGCTGGAATACTTGTTCATCCTGCACTGGATGATTGGAAGGGAAAGCCAGGAATCGTTCTAGTTGACTATATTTTGACTAAAGTTTACCTTAAAGCCTCATGAGCAGTCTGGATTCATGCTTGTTTACGTCTCCTACAGGAAATCTGTGAGAATCCTCAGTTCATTGTAGGAGGAGCCAGTAGGACGGACATCTGTCAGGGAGATCTGGGTAAGTTTGTTTTAATCAGACATCAGATCTTCAGATTGATTTCTACAGAAAACCATTTTTTTTCATTAACTGTGACAATCAGGTAGGATTGTTTTAGGTGATAAAGGGAGGTGAAGTGAGGGATGAGGTGGCCAACTAAAGTAGGTTGGCACCGGCGTCCGTCCCCTGCACTCGGCCTCCTGATATTGTGCTAACTCTTTTAGACGGGATTCCAACCAGCAGCACTTCTCTTTGTTGTTTGGCTCAAAGGGACTGACAGGACAAAGGTCCTGGACAACACTGTTAACCGTACTCTGTTGAAAGACTTACATTGCTCAGAGCAGCCTGTCACACACCTGGACACATGCAGCGTCAGCAGCAGCTTTTATCTTCTACACCACTAAATAGTCCCAAGATTTCCCTCGTTATTAGAAAAGGACCAAGGAACACATCTGAGTCCTTACAGCCACATTAAGAGGACCAGTTGGAGATTTTCAGACTGAAAGCACTGAAATGGTTGAATTCTTTCCCGTTTAGGTGACTGTTGGCTGCTGGCTGCTATCGCCTGCCTGACGCTCAATGAGAAGCTTCTGTTTCGAGTTGTTCCTCAGGAGCAGAGCTTCTCAGAGAACTACGCTGGACTCTTCCACTTCCAGGTGCAAAGTGCTCATCTCTTACTGTTGTCCCTGATCATTTTCATAAATAGTTTCCTAAAACCCATGGAGGTAAAAAGCGTTCAGCTAAGGATCAGTGTAAATAAAGATGTCCTGGCCCCTGCTGCTCGGCGCTGCTCAAGATTTTCCTTTCTCAAAATATTTAAAGTCAACAAATGCACGTTCCTCTTGTAATGTGCCTGGTCCAGATGGCTATGGGAATAAATTGATCAAAATAGCTTTTGATGTTCTAGCTTCACCCCCTCTCAGTTATTTATAACGTATCCAATAATAACTGTAAAAATGAGACATTTACAATCTGGATTCAGAACGCTTTTTTCCACTACTGCTTTGGTAAATGGTAAATGGCCTGTATTTGTATAGCACCTTCTTTGGGTTCTACAACCCCCCAAGGTGCTTCACAACACAGTCAGGCATTCACCCATTCACACACACATTCACACGCTGGTGGGGACGAGCTACGATGTAGCTACAGTTGCTCTGGGGCGCACTGACAGAGGCAAGGCCGCCGAGCACAGGCGCCACCAGTCCCTCCGACCACCACCAGCAGGCTAAGCGGGTTAAATGTCTTGCCCAAGGACACAACAGCAGAATTCTCTGGTCAGAGCTGGGGTTGAACCTGCAACCTTCCGATGACTGAACAACCCGCTCTACCTCCTGAGCTACTGCTGTGTGCTGCTTTGTTGAAACTCACAAATATTCTCTGGTTTTGAAAGCAGCCGGGCTACGGGTGCTATTTTTCTAGATCTTACCAAAGCATTTGCACTGGTTGATTACTACTTTCGCCTGGACAAACTCTCTTTTCCTGGGTTATCCAGGGCCTCTGTACTTTGCTATAAAATGGTTTAACTCAGTTTTTCCACAATCGCCATCAGTTTGTTTTCTCAGGGGTGTTCCGCAAGGATCAATTCTGGGGCCTTTTTTAAAATTGTTATTAATAATTTGCTTACATGTTGTACTATGTGCTCGGTTCAACAATATGCTGATGACACTAACTTATGTTGCTCAACGCCTAGTGTATTGGAAGTTCTAGTCTCCTCAGTCTAACTTTAACAAAGTGCAGTATTGGTTGCGATATTATAAACCACCTTTAAACAAAGCGAGATCTTACTTTATGATCTTTCAGAGAATTAATTCCACCGCACCTGTGCATTGCAAGCTTAACTCATATTTCCTAGATTTGTCACAGTTGATCCATACGGACAAAGAAGTAGGCGTTTGATTTGAACCTGATCTGTCTCTTACGACCCACTAATAGGGTCGACTTCTGTTTTAAAACTATTTATCTGTCTCTTAACTGCTGGGACTTGAGGGTGAGGATGTGTATTGTTATTCAGATTTTATTTCTGGTAGATTGTGCAGATATATTTTACCAGAATTCAACCACTTCCTGTCTCCACTTTCTTGATGTCATATATAATAGCTCATGTCTTTTCATCTTGTGCTGTTCGTTCAGACCTCCAGTTTTACAAATGAACGTTTGTCCTGGCTCTCGCCACAAGCTAGGCAACAATTCCATTGGTTGTTGTTCATTTACCATCTTATTTACGAACATTTTTGTAAAGTTCAGGTCTCTTGTCAAAGCTCAGCTGGACTGGAACGATTCACCTGCTTATATAAGGGAAATTACATCTTTTCGTCCGTTGAAAATCTCTGTTCATCTTGTGCTTCCCATTTGCAACTCTCCTGACTGGCTGTTGTATGTATGGGATCACTAATTCTTAATATTTCATTGTGACATTTAAATTAATTGTGTGCAGTGAGTAAATTTATTTGTGCGCTGCAACTTTAGGTTATTTTATTGTCTATGTGCTGTCTGTGTTTCTGTTTGTTGACCTTGCTTTAGCACAGACCATGTTGTTATTATGAATATGACTGTACGCAATGTATTTGATTTTTAAAGGTGTGTTTTTGTTGTTCTGCGTAAATTAATTAATTAAATAAAAAATATGTATATAAATAAATGTATTATATTTCACATGTGGGGTATAGGCCAGTAGACCTTTGATACTTAAGGATTAGTTGAATTGTGAAGAGAGAAAGGATTCTGCAGTAAGTAATGTAACTGTCAGCTGCAGCCTTCTAAATTCCAACCTGAAACTTTTGATGTGTGAATGTTTTAACATCCTGTTGCCTGACTCTTCTTCCTGGCATCCTTCAGTTCTGGCGTTACGGCGATTGGGTGGATGTCGTCATCGACGACCGCATCCCAACCTTTAACAACCAGCTGGTCTTCACCAAGTCTGCTGAAAGGAACGAGTTCTGGAGTGCACTGCTGGAGAAGGCCTACGCCAAGTGAGTAGGATCTCTGTGGGGGTGGGGGTGTTCAGCATTCGATCATCAGATTAATTACTTAGATTTTTGATCATATTTCATAATATCTTCTACCATGTTAAGTCAGTGTTTTGGGCGCAAGACGGTCATTTGTTATAATCTGGAGTGCCTCATGGTTCAGTGTTTGGTCCTAGACACTTTGGTTTATATGACACAACAAATAAAACACAATTTTTAAGTGAGTAGAATCCCACTGTTTCTTTCTTATGATGATTTCACTTTTATGAACTTAGGACGTAGCCTGGCAAGCCAGACTAAATAAATGTAAGAATTTGGTCTAGTTCACTAGGCTACTTAGGACGTGGTATAAAATTAATTACTTATAAGCTGGAATAAAACTGAAGTTATGACCTTGATTCTCACTTGAAAGGGTTTGGGAATTTATTTTTAGATTTTGTTTTAGTCCTTATTCACATAAAAACTATCTTTCTGTCTATCTGTCATTTTTTGTTTAATTGTTTCTTTCTTCTCAGTTTTAGGACAACATCTATGAGACAATTCCATGCTGTCGTTCTTTTTTTAAAACACAGAAACAGTTTCGGTACCTGTTTTCCCGCGCTACGTTTCGTCTGCGGCTGCAGACTTCCTCAGGCTGACGGTGATGGTGGCGTCACTTCCTTCTCCGTTTATCTGCGGGCAGCAGAGGACGTTGTCGCCCTCTGCTGCCCGCTCTCCCCTCTCCGACGATGCAGTCCCATGCGTGGTCCAACGTGTAAACTCCGTCGTCCCTGTTCATGGTCCCACATCCACATCTCCTTATCTCGATTGCTTCTTTTATCCATCTTTTGTATTTCTGTTGTTCGGTGTTTATGATCCTTGTGTTGTCCAAGTCCATTATATGGTTTTCTCTTGTGCAGTGATCTGTTACGGCTGACTTCTTTATTGTGCTTTCTGCTTCTTGTTTTGCTGCTCTTGTGTGTCTTGGACTCGTTTCTTTCTCGCACTCCTTTCTATGTTCTATTGTTCGTGTGTTGAGATGGTGTCCGGTTTCTCCTATGTATGTTTTATTGCAAAGTTTGCATGGGATTTCGTAAATGACTCCACATTTACGTCCAGCTGGTATTTTGTCTTTTGAGTGTACTAGTCTGTTTCTAACTGTTGTGTATGGTTTTGTTGGTGTGTTTATGTTGTGTTTTTTCAATGCTGCTCTTATTTTTTCTGTTATGCCTTTAATGTATGGTAGGGTTATCACTGGTTTTGGTTCTTGTCTTTCTGGGTTTCTGGTTCTTTGCTTTGGTTGTTTTTTCTTTCTGTTGTTGTTTGCCATTTTCCTTTGTTTATTGCCCATGTCGGGTATCCGCAGGTCTTTAAAGCATGCTGTATGTGTTTGTCCTCTTGTTTTTGGTCTCTTTCTTCTGTTACCATGTTTGTTCAGTGATATAATGTCCTGAATACTGACATTTTGAGTATGGTGGGGTGTTCTGATGTCCATAATAGATATTGGTCTGTGTGTGTTGGTTTCCTGTATGTGTTTATGTTTAGGGTCCCGTCGGTCTGCCTGCTTATTTTCATGTCCATAAATGCAATGCTGCCTTCTGTTTCTGTCTCATAAGTGAATTTTATGTTGCCTGTGTCGTCAATGTTATTCAAGTGTTGTGTTAGTGTTTCTGTTTGTCCTTTTGGTATGATTTCCAGTACGTCGTCTACGTAGCATTTCCATAGTTTTATTTTGCATGGGGGGGGGGGGGGGGGGGGGGCAGTGGCTATGGCTTTTTGCTCTAGGTCTTCCATGAAGAACTCGCACAGGGTGGCTGATAACGGGTTACCCATGGCGAAGCCTTCCAGTTGTTTGTATACTGTGTCATCATATGTGAAGTAAGTGGAGTTAGCTACCAGTCCTATCAGTTGTGCTATGTCATCTGCTGTGAGGTTTGTTCTTTTGTGTAAAGTCTTGTCCTGTCTGATTCTGTTAACTACTATGTCTATGGTTTTTTTGGGTTGGTGTTTTTGTGAACAGGGATGTGACGTCATGTGAGATGAGTATGTCGTTGTCTTCTATTGTGATTTCCTTTAGTTCTTTTGCCAGTTCTATGCTGTTTTTGCGGTGTTGATCTGTGTTTCCTAATAACGGGCTAATGATTCTGCTGATATCTTTTGCCATTTTGTATGTTGGTGTACCTATGCTGTCAACTATTGGTCTAAGTGGGGTGTTTTGTTTATGTATTTTTGGCATTCCATATATTCTTGGTGTTATGTTTGCCGTAGGAATCAGTGTTTGTACATTTCGATAGGACTGGTAGCTAACTCCACTTACTTCACATATGACAACACAATATACAAACAACTGGAAGGCTTTGCCATGGGTAACCCGTTATTAGCCACCCTGTGCGAGTTTTTCATGGAAGACCTGGAACAAAAAGCCATAGCCACTGCCCCCCCCCCCCCCCCCCCCCCCCCCCCATGCTAAATAAAACTATGGAAATGCTACGTAGACGACATACTGGAAATCATACCAAAAGGACAAACAGAAACACTAACACAACACTTAAATAACATTGACGACACAGGCAGCATAAAATTAACTTATGAGTCAGAAACAGAAGGCAGCATAGCATTTATGGATATGAAAATAACCAGGCAGACTGATGGGACCCTAAAAACACATACAGGAAACCAACACCCACAGACCAATATCTATTATGGACATCAGAACACCCCACCATCAGAACATTATATCACCGAACAAACATAATAACAGAAGAAAGGGACCGTAAACAAGAGGACAAACACATACAACACGCTTTAAAGACCTGCGGATACCCGACATGGGCAATAAACAAAGGAAAACAGCAAACAAAAACAGAAAGAAAAGAACAACCTAAGCAAAGAACCAGAAATCCAGAAAGACAAGAACCAAAACCAGTGATAACCCTACCATACATCAGAGGCATAACAGAAAAAATAAGAGCAACAATGAAAAAACACAACATAAACACACCAACAAAACCATACACAACAGTTAGAAACAGACTAGTACACCCAAAAGACAAAATATCAGCTGGACTTAAATGTGGAGTCATTTACGAAATCCCATGCAAACTCTGCAATAAAACATACGTAGGAGAAACCGGACGCCAACTCAACACACGAACAATAGAACATAGAAAGGAGTGCGAGAAAGAAACGAGTCGAAGACACACAAGAGCAGCAAAACAAGAAGCAGAAAGCACAATAAAGAAGTCAGCCGTAACAGATCACTGCATAAGAGAAAACCATATAATGGACTGGGACAACACAAGGATCATAAACACCGAACAACAGAAATACAAAAGATGGATAAAAGAAGCTATAGAGATAAGGAGACGTGGATGTGGGACCATGAACAGAATCAACGGAGTTTACACGTTGGATCGTGCATGGGACTGCATCATCGGAGAGGGGAGAGCGGGCAGCAGAGGGCGACAATGTCCTCTGCTGCCCACGGATAAACGAAGTAGGAAGTGACGCCACCATCAGCGTCAGCCTGAGGAAGTCTGCAGCCGCAGACGAAACGTAGCGCGGGAAAACAGGTACCGAAACTGTTTCTGTGTTTTAAAAAAAGAACGACAGCATGGAATTAGAACCACAACACAGCAAGAACACCCCTAAGATGATCTATGAGACAAGCACAAGAGATTTGTTTGTATCACATAAAAACCATAGAGGTGAATGTTAGACAATAAACAGTTTTATTATTTGGGTCAAAATGAAAGATTTATTTATTTTAAATCCCCATTATGTAAATACAAAACTATAGAGAAATCAGAATGAAACGATGAGAAGAACCACAATAAAGACATTAACTGAAGTAGAAATACTAATGAATTTGAGAAAAAAAGTGTGATTTTTACAAATCCATCCATCCATTTTCTGAACCCGCTTGTCCACGTAGGGTCGCTGGTGCCTATCTCCAGTGGTCAATGAGCAATCAGGCGGGGTACACCCCGGACAGAGAGCCGGTCCATCGCAGGGCAACGCAGAGACACACAGGACAAACAATCATACACACACACACTCACACCTAAGGACAATCTAGACAGACCAGTTAACCTAACAGTCATGTTTTTGGACTGTGGGAGGAAGCCGGAGTACCCGGAGAGAACCCACGTACGCACAGGGAGAACATGCAAGCTCCATGCAGAAAGATCCCAGGCCGGGAAGTGAACCCAGGACCTTCTCGCTGCAAGGCAACAGCTCTAACCACTGCTCCACTGTGAAGCCGATTTTTTACAAATTCATGGAATAATAATAGGATTTATATTATTTAAAAGTTGAGTTTAGTTACGGAGCTTAGGGACAGCTGGATATGTTTAGCTGTTTTATTATTGGTGAAGGGGCAGGTTTTATATTTCTGCTTTTTGTTTCCCTTTAAGTGTATTAATTTTGCTGCCCTTTAAAGATCGGATTTTATAAAACCAGTTGAGTGAAATGTTGTTTGTTTCAAAAAGGGGAAAAAATTAAATAAAAACAACAGAATGAATGAATGAAATCTGAAAAGAATAGCCACAGGAAACTTCCAAAATCCTGTTGCCCCCTTTGCTCCAGGTAAACATTGTAATGTAGTGTAATCGAAGGCTTTATCAGATGTTCCCTTTAGTGAGCTTTCCCTCCAGATTCGTGGTAAAGTCTATTCCTGGTTGAGAGTTAATCTGTGTCTGTGTGCAGGCTGCACGGCTCCTACGAGGCCCTGAAGGGAGGAAACACCACGGAGGCCATGGAGGATTTCACAGGTGGCGTCACTGAGTTTTACGAGATGAAGGAAGCTCCAAAAGAGCTCTACAAGATCATGAAGAAGGCTCTGGAGAGAGGCTCGCTCATGGGCTGCTCCATCGATGTGAGACTCTTTAACCTCTCTCAGATAAAATGCAGCCTCGTAGCGAGGAAGGAGGGGCTTCTGAAACATTTGGCTGGTGAAGGCAAAGATCAGCACACGGAAACAAACACCACACCTGAATCAGACAGAATTCTCACACAAACTCTACCTGACGGCTTTAGTTTTAGTTTCTGTTGTATGTTTGGTTTCAGTCTTTGGTCCCTGCTCGCTTTGAAACTCGGACAGTGACGGGACTGGTGAAGGGTCACGCCTACTCGGTGACGGCGGTGGACGAGGTGAATGAAAACGTTTCTGATCAAGAAACAAATTTAAACTCACACAAAGAAAACCCGAGTAGATATGTCATGTATCAGGAGAAGGAGCCTACCCAGTACGGTCTGACTTTTGCTGCGTTATATATGCAGAACAAGTTTAGATTTCTGGATCTGTGTTGTTTTACAGTGCAAGCCCTCTCAGCACAAGGACAGCAAGGTTCGACTGGTCCGGCTCAGGAACCCGTGGGGTCAGGTGGAGTGGAACGGCCCTTGGAGTGACAAGTCTGTGATTTTGTTTTTCTTCTTGGATGCTTTTTTTAAAACTGGCTAGAGAATTTACATAAATCTATTCTGACTTTTATATTTATTATCATTCTCCAGTTCTAAGGAGTGGACTACTCTGTCCAAGGATGAAAAAGACAAACTGCAACACCAGAGTGCTGAAGATGGAGAGTTCTGGTAAGTAGCTTTTTGGATCTTGTCCTGGACCTTAATTTACAAAGTACCAGATTGAAAGAATTCTCACAGACGCCTAACATCACTCAGAATAGTCAGAATCAATAAAAGAACCACCGAAACTCCATTCTAGAAGTCTAGACCTTCTGTTGCCGAAGCAAAACGATTCACACCTATTGGACGGCTTGCAGGCTACGGAAACTCTTGATTCTTCAGACATTTGTTTCACTGATAAATTATGATCTCTGGTCTGATGCAGGATGTCATTTGAAGACTTTAAGAAGAACTACACAAAGATCGAGATCTGTAACCTCACGCCTGATGCCCTGGAGGATGATAAGATCCACAAGTGGACGGTTTCTGTGAACGAGGGCCGCTGGGTGAGAGGCTGCTCGGCCGGAGGCTGCAGGAACTATCCAGGTACTGAACAAAGTAAAGCAACAAGAAAATGAGCCGATCACATCATGAACTGCACTGGAGGATTGACTGAATAAGGCTTCAAAAGCCTTAAAGCTTGATTACAGGTGAGTGTGTGAGCCACTGTAAATGTTCTGCAGACACTTTCTGGACCAACCCTCAGTACCGCCTTCGCCTGCTGGAGGAGGATGATGATCCAGACGATAATGAGGTGGGCTGCACCTTCGTGGTAGCGCTGATGCAGAAGAACAGAAGAAAGGAACGCAAGATGGGAGCCAACCTGTTCACCATCGGATTTGCTATTTATGAGGTGTCCAGTTAGGTTCTTACATCATGGTCAGACATGGTCAGACCCCTGCCAATTTCTCACTGTTTGTTATATTGCAGCCATTTGCTAAAATCAATTAAATTATTATTTTTTCCTCTTTAATGTACACACGGCACCCCATGTTGACAGAAAAACACAGAATTTTAGACATTTCTACAGGTTTATTAAAAAGGACAAACTAAAACATCACATGGTCCTAAGTATTCAGAGCCTTTGTTCAGTATTTAGTAGAAACACCCTTTTGAGCTGATACAGCCATGAGTCTTCTTGGTAAAGATGCAACAAGTTTCTTACGCCTGGATTTGGGGATCCTCCATTCCTCCTTGCAGATCCTCTCCAGCTCTGTCAGGTTGGATGGTGAACGTTGGTGGACAGCCATCTTTAGGTCTCTCCAGAGATGCTCAACTGGGTTTAAGTCAGGGCTCTGGCTGGGCCACCCCTTTGTTATTTTAGCTGTGTGCTTAGGGTCATTGTCATGTTGGAAGGTAAACCTTCAGCCCAGTCTGAGTTCCTGAACACTCTGGAGAAGGTTCTTGTCCAGGATGTCCCTGTACTTGGCTGCATTCATCGTTCCCTGGAGTGCAAGCAGTCGTCCTGGCCCTGCAGCTGAAAAACACCCCCACGCCATGATGCTGCCATCGCCATGCTTCACTGTGGGACTGTACTGGACAAGTGATGACTAGTGCCTGGTTTTCTCCACACATACCGCTTAGAATTGAGGCCAAAAAGTTCTATCTTGGTCTCATCAGACCAGAGAATCTTATTTCTCACCATCTCAGGGTCCTTCAGGTGTCTTTTAGCAAACTCCACGCAGGCTTTTGTGTGTCTAGCACTGAGGAGAGGCTTCCAACGGGCCACTCTGCCATAAAGCCCTGACTGGTGGAGCGCTGCAGTGATGGCTGACCTTCTACAACTTTCTCCATCTCCTGACTGCATCTCTGGAGCTCAGCCACAGTGATCTTTGGGTTCTTCTTTACCTCTGTCTCTCACCAAGGCTCTTTTCCCCTGGTAGCTCAGTTTGGCCAGACGGTCTGCTCTAGGAAGGGTTTTGGTCGTCCCAAACATCTTCCATTTAAGGATCATGGAGGCCACTGTGGTCTACCTTAAGTGCAGCAGAGATGTTTTTGTAACCTTGGCCAGATCTGTGCCTTGCCGCAATTCTGTCTCTGAGCTCCACGGGGAGTTCATTTGACCTCATGGTTCTCCTTTGCTCTGACGTGCATTGTGAGCTGTAAGGTCTTATATAGACAGGTGTGTGGCTTTCCTGATCAAGTCCAGTCAGTAAGGACGCACCCACACCACTTTTTTCCAAACCGATACGATACTGATACTTCTACCACACAAAAAATGCATTGAATTGGAGCACAGCTTTTATCTTCTTCTCTGCTTTCAAAATTCAATTCAATTCAATACAAAAATACTTTATTAATCCCAGAGGGAATTTGATTGAACAGGAAATATATGAATATAAATGATCACAAAACTAAAATATTAGGTGAACAGAAATGAAGTTACAGTGAAGCCACTTTCAGGCAACTGTATTGGTAACGGTTCCTGGTATCGGTATCGGCCTGATACCAATACCAGTATCGGTATTGGTGCATCCCTAGCAATCAGTATAATCAAACACAGCTGGACTCCAATGAAGTTGTAGGACCATCTCAATGATGATCAGAAGAAATGGAAAGCACCTGAGTTAAATATATGAGTGTGACGGCAAAGGGTCTGAATTCTTAGGACCATGTGATATTTCAGTTTGTCTTTTTTGATAAATCTGCAGACATTTCTAAAACTTTGTGTTTTTCTGTCTATTTTAGGTGCTGTGTGTACATTAATGAGGAAAAATGAATTTATTTGATTTTAGCAAATTGCTGCAGTATAACGATCTGGATACTTTCCGTTCTCCCACTTTATCAGATGTGATTTAAGCATCTTCACTGAACAAAAAACCCTGTTTGATGTACTTTTTGTTTCTGTGCAGGTGCCAAAGGAGGTGAGGAAGGCGTGACCTAACCACACCGAGGAAGTGATTTTGACCCTGTGTTGTGTTTTTTAAATCAACTCCATAAATGTTATTTTTGTGTCTGAGTGTCACAACTACTGTGTGTCCTCGCCACTGTGATTGTCTTCTCCAGATGCACGGAAACAAGCAGCACATGCAGAAGGATTTCTTCCTGTTCAACTCCTCCAAGGCCCGCTCCAAGTCCTACATCAACCTGAGAGAGGTGACGCAGCGTTTCCGCCTGAGCTCCGGCGAGTACGTTATCATTCCCTCCACCTACGAGCCACATCAGGAGGGAGACTTCATCCTGCGGGTCTTCTCTGAAAAGAGGAACACCTCAGAGTGAGTGGGTGGGGTTGGGGGTCAGGGTGGTGGGAGGAGCACAAGTCTTTAGATTTAATACTTCTTTTGCTGCAGAGGAGTTCTGTTTGCTACCAGTGGGGCTGGGTATTGGTGAAAATAATCATTCCATTCAATAATTATCAGGCTTACAAATCATACTACTCATAACATTACCTCCACTTCCTCCTCTGATGGGGATTACATGTAGATCCTTCTTTATGGAGAGGTAACTTAGCTAAAATGATCCTCCCAGGAAGACATGAATCTGGTGCATCCATACCAATCCCAGCCCTGCTGTGGTCAGCTCTGAGGAGAACATGATGATTTCTCTAGCTCTCTGTGTCTTTTCAGTGCTGCTTTGTGTGTTTGCTAATAGTGTGTGTGTGTGTATGGTTGTGTGTGTGTGTGTGTGTGTGGGGGGGGGGGGGGGGGGGGGGCAAAAAGCACTAAGAACAAACCATTTTAATGGAAATTTGATTTGTAGAGCTGGAAGAAATCGGCCCCAGACCGAAGCTGTTATGGAATCTTTTTTAGGACAAGACACTTCCGATTTGGGAATATTCCGGTAAATTTGGCAATGTGCTGCAAACTCAAGCTTCAACAGAGCTCCACCCAGAGGACAGAAAGGCTCACAGGGCCATCAGGCTCTCTGATGGACGGGGACCCCACGTGAAACATCTGCGCAGAAACATCTGTGAACTCATCAACACAGCTTTAGGTCAAAGGTCGTGTGGGATCATATTCAGACAGATGTAGGTTTTATTAAAGGTGTCCTTCACTCATATTTTAAATACATTTGCAGTGGTCTCTAGTAGGAATGAATACCTTGTAAGTCGTACTCTGGGGAAAAAGAGCTCCACTGTAGCGTTGCTAATGCTAACAGTTAGTTTCTACTAGTCGAGACGTTAGCCTCTTTTAGAAAACAATGCTGCCAATTTTCCGCAACGCCGAGCCAGCATCTGAGAACCTTAGGTTGTTTAGAAGTGGTCAGAGCGTGGCGGTAATGTGGCTCAATCATGTCCTTTTTACAAAAGATATCGGGATGGCGGTACAAAGGGGGTGGAGGAGCGGTCTCTGCATTGCCACGGACTTCCTGTTAACTTGGACATGACTTGCTTTTTATTGTGATTGAAACCACGCTAGTTAAGTTTTTCCAACAAGCTGCTCTTAAAGGTGTCTGTCCTCCACAGTCCCCGTGAATGGTCAGGTGATCTGACCGGAGAGAAGCTCCTAGAGCTCTGAATCCCTCCACTTTATCATCTCAGCTGGTTCTGTTTACAAAAGTGAAACTTTCTGCCCGTGTTTACTTTCATTTTCAATATAGTTTCCTGCCAGAGCTCTGCAGTAACTCCCCGTGTGATCATGACACCTCCTTCTGTTGCGCCAAGCCATAATATGCGTTCTAATATGGAGTCTAATGTTGTGGTAATATTACTACCGAGTGTGGCAAAATGTCTGCAACGCCATGCGACCACGGCGCGTTCATAAGACACACCGTGGTGTGGTGGCAGTATTACGCTAATTTGCCAGGATGGTGTGTATTCTAAAAAGGGCTGGGCTCATCTGTCCCCTTGACATAGATCTGTCAGGCTTTTCTAATCCTGGAGGTTCACCGTCTACTTTCCATCAGAAGCTCATGCATGAGATGGGTGTAGGAGACTATTTTCATGTTCAGCCTGCATGAAAAACTCAGAGAGTCCGATTCTAATCAGAAATAATCATTAAAAATGCTTTTTTTAGTGAAGGACGCCTTTAAACAGAAACCAAGAAGAGTTGTGAAGACAACAGGAAAGAAATGAGCCAACACTCATGTGGAGGAACCATCTGGTGGTTTTAGACTAACACTTGACTCACAGATTCAGGAGGTTTGTTAAATGTGAGAAACAAGAAGACAAAATTTACTAATCTAAGATTATTAGATTGTATAAATAATACCAGATTACAAACTTGTGGTCTCAGAAGATGAAAATGGAAAAGAAGAAGATGAAGGTGATAATGATGATGAGGGTGGTGATGAGGATGATGATGATGATGATGATGATGACGATGATGGGTGATGGATGATGATGATGAGAATGTAGATGATGATGATGATTCTGATGAAGATGCTGATGATGGGTGATGGATGAAGATGATGGTGATGATGGTGGATGATTCTGATGATGATGATGAGTGATGGATGATGACGATGGGTGACAGATGATGAAAAGGATGATGATGATGAATGATGATGATGTATTATGATGATGGATTATAATGTGTCATGATGATGATGATGATTAGTGACAGATGATGAAGATGATGATGACTGATGATGATGAATGATGGGTAATGGATGATGATGATGATGATGTTGGATAATGATGATGATGATGATGTTCCTGGTGATGACGATGATGATGGGTGATTGATGATGATAACGATGATGATGGGTGATTGATGATGATGACGATGATGATGGGTGATTGATGATGATGACGATGATGATGGGTGATTGATGATGATGATGATGATAGGTGATGGATGATGATGATTCTGATAATGAAGACGGTGTTGATGGGTGATGGATGAAGATGATGATGATGACGATGAGAATGAAGATGATCTTGTTGATGATGATGGATGATGATGATGATGATGTTGGATAAAGATGATGATGATGATGATGTTCCTGGTGATGACGATGATGATGGGTGATTGATGATGACGATGATGATGGGTGATTGATGATGATGATGATGATGATGATAGGTGATGGATGATGAAGATGATTTTGAATGATGATGATGATGTATGATGATGGTAATGATGAGGATGATGATGATGATGACGATGATGGGTAATGGATGATGATGATGATGATGTTGGATAATGATGATGATGATGATGTTGGATAATGATGATGATGATGATGTTCCTGGTGATGACGATGATGATGGGTGATGGATGTAGATGATGATGATGATGACGATGAGAATGAAGATGATCTTGTTGATGATGATGGATGATGATGATGATGATGTTGGATAAAGATGATGATGATGATGTTCCTGGTGATGACGATGATGATGGGTGATTGATGATGATGACGATGATGATGGGTGATTGATGATGATGATGATGATGATGATGAATGATGATGATGATGAATGATGATGATGTATTATGATGATGGATTATAATGTGTCATGATGATGATGATGATTGGTGACAGATGATGAAGATGATGATGAATGATGATGATGATGGGTAATGAATGATGAGGATGATGAATGATGAGGATGATGATGATGATGATGGGTAATGAATGATGATGATGAATGATGATGATGATGATGATGATGACTGCTATTTGTCCATATCCATCCAGGGAGATAGAGAACAGGATCGAGGCTGATCATCCTGTGGTGAGTCCTGAAGCCACGTCTAGAAGCATAAGTTGTTTTTGTCCAATGACAGCTGTAATCCAGTTTCATCCATTCATCATGAGCGTTAATCTCATGTTATGTAATTATTCACCCAAACTTTTCTGTTTCCAGGGTGGAATAATTAATTAACAGACAATTTCAGTGGTTTTAGAAAATATCTGGATGCAAAGGCTTTACTCTGGCTACTCCAGTCAGCCTGTTTTATCCAATCATAAACCCGTTTTGATGTGTGTTTGGGGTTATTGTCTTGTTAGACCACCCACCTGGGTCCAGCCATGATGCTGTCACCACCATGCTGGACAGTTGTCTTCTTAGGTCTTGACTCCTCCAAACAGACTTCTTGTCTTTGTGTCCAAACATCTCAATTGTTGTTTCACCTGATGGTATCTTTTGGAGCAGGAAGGTCTTTCATCATTCTCTTAGTCTATGTGGGTGTAAAACTGTCTTCACTGTGGTCAGAGACCTTGGTGCTCCAGCAGGATCAGGATGGTAGACCTGAGTCTTTGTGGTTCCTGGGTTGTTTCACAACATCAGAACCAATTTCCTTCCATCTCAATCCATCGCCCCACCCATACACACTATGCAAAATGCATAGGCCACTAAGTGGCCAGGGGGTCACCAACTAAAAAACTTCTGTGAGGCGCTCCTTGCACTGAACACCATCAGCGACAGCCAGCCCGTGCAGGAGGGGAAATAAGTCATACATAGATATGTTTATTTATTTATATAGTACTTTGACCTGTTTTCTATTGTTAATTGTTCCTGGCTGCCCATATTTCCACACCTGCTGTTTATCGATGGTGGAAAAGGCTATTTTCATTTGAGGGAAGTCGTCATGGAGCTGAGATAAATCTCTTTAGATTTGAGAAGCCAGTTCTACCGGGGAAACAAGACCCAGATACTTTCCTCTAGCATGGGCAACCAGAACATCTGGTGGACCGTGTGTGGGGACTGCTGAGTAGAACCAGGGAAGGACACCACCCCAGCACATGCCTCGTTTGCCAAACCATCAAGCAGTAACTTTGAGTCTAAAGTTTGTCCCAAACTGCTGCTGAGCAGCCTCTTCACCCCGTCTGATGTAACTGGACCCAATTATCCAGATACTTGTAGTGGTAGGCTGATCAGGATGCAGCATTGGTGATGTGCATCTACTGCAAACCTACATCTATTGATCAGAAGATGCAGGACTGTTGAGTTTGGAGGCATGAATCCGTCCCTTTCTTTGACCTTTGAGTAGAATCACGATGGGACATTTCTGCTGAGGTGTGTCTTCAGACATCCTTGGCTTCTGACTAACAGTGATGTTCAGCGTGTTCTGCTTTTGCAGGCCTTTTAGCTTAGTCTTACGTTCACTTCAGTTCTTAAGCATCTTCAGCATTCATCATTTTCACCAATCAGCATTCAAACAGCATTGCTCCCAAAAACAACAGCCAGTCAGTAAAAATCCTCATGATGAGTGAATGAAACCTTTTATTTCAGCTGTGTTCACACGGGCTCCATTCATTTAGTTTTTTGATGACCTCTCACTCTCTGTTATAAAGAGAAGCTTCTCATCTCAGCAACTTTAATTTAAATATTGTTTTAAGAATATTGAGCTGAAATGGCATCAGAATAGTTGCAGCTGTGCTTGGTTGTTTCTGTTTAATCTTGTTGACAAGTGGAAGCAAAAGGGTCGACCTGAACTTTTTGCCTTCCTGTGTGATCACATCTCCCTGCTCTGCGGCTCCACTGCCAACACAGCCAGCTCCAGCCTTGGCGGGGGAAGAGAGCGAGGAAGATCAACAGTTTCGGACAATTTTTCAGGAGATAGCCGGCGAAGTGAGTTTGAATGGCCAATCCAAAGAGAACAGATGAGAATAAGGGTTTGGTACTTTGTCCTTTACAGAGTGTTCCTCTTTTATATGTAGGAGATGGAAATCACAGCCAACGAACTGAGAAACGTTCTCAACAGAGTCATCAGCACACGTGAGTCAGGCCAGAACAGTTGCACCAAATCTACATCATTTAAATTTAACAGCTAATGGCTTCATTTGCATCAAATTGAATGATTTGATTTATTTGTTTAGTTAAAAGTGCCTCTAAAGACTAGATTGTGCCTAACAGGAGTGATGGTGGTAGAGGCTGAAGGCTAGTTATCATCCCTTCTGATGTGTTTAGATAAGGACCTGAACACGGAGGGCTTCAGCCTGGAGAGCTGCAGAAGCATGATCGCTCTGATGGACGTATCCTTTGTATCAAGTGCATTGGGCTGGCTGTGCTGTCGGTTACAGGCCCAACCCGTCCAGACCTGTGGTCGGGTCTGTGATGGATGCTCATGGGGCCAAAGGGTCCAAGCAACATGGTCCCAGTCTGCTGAAGTCTTGATTAAACAAACATGGAAGTGTTCAGATTTTAAAGTAAATTCCCTGTTTTACCCGTTAAAAGTGAGACCGTGAGTGTGTTTGGAGATTGACTGTGTGTGTTCAGATGGACGGGACGGGTCGACTCAACCTACAGGAGTTTAGACATCTATGGAACAAGATCAAACAGTGGCAGGTGAATGCCTCTCTGCTGTGAAACCTTGTTCTGTTGTACCTGATGAGCAGCTGCTCTAACTCGATGATGATCTATTTTCTCTCCAGGGAATCTTTAAACATTATAACGCTGACCAGTCTGGCAGCATCAACAGTTACGAGATGAGGAATGCCGTCAATGATGCAGGTAGCAATAAGCAGACCAAACTGTACTCGCTTTGGTTCAAACATGACTTTTCTGCCATTTGTGGTATTTACTCTTTTATCCACCATGAATGGGAGTTTATTACAACATACAATGGTTTACTTATAGGGTTACAGGATAATCCAAGTTTCAATGTTAGTTCCTTTTCAGCTCAAGCACACACACACACACACACACAAACAGTTTGGGTCTCCTCAAAAGCAGTTTATTTTCTAAGTTTCTCAGATTCAGTTAAGTAAGTAAATAAAAAAAAACTAATATATTTGTTTTAATGTAACTGAAACTGTAAATCTTTACGGTTTGGATCAGAACTTTTCAAGCTCAACTTTCATGTTTGATGAATCCATTGTACAAGTGATCCCTCGTTTATCGCGGTAGATGCGTTCCAGACCTGGCCGCGACAGGTGAAAATCCGCGAAGTGGGGACACCATATTTACAGTACAGTACTATATTGAATTATCGTATGATCACATTCTCTTTTTGTGGGTAAAACTCAAGAAAAAAAATTTTTTACTTGGTTTTTTTATAGTTTTATTACAAAAAGTGCATTTTATGATGAAATTGATGAAAAAAACAGGAATTCCTTGATATTTCGCATAGAAAAATACCGCGAATCGGCGAATTTCCCTTGAATAAGGCTCCAAAGAAAAAATCCACGAAGACGTGAATCCGCGATAAACGAACCGCGAAGTAGCGAGGGATCTCTGTAATAAGGACTTTTTAAGTGTGTGCATTTATAAATTTTAGTTTAAACATTCTACTTTTTGTATATTAGGCCTATCAGGATCTAAACTGAAGGTCATGACAGGATGAACAGGAAAATGTTAAGATTCACTCATATCATATTTTTACTGATGATGATGAATGAAAAACCGATGTGATGTTTAGTCATTTCAAATGTGAACTCATCTTCTGATTGTTTTTGTCACTGTACAGTCATGTGTCTTATGCCCTGCCCAGGCTTCCGTCTCAACAACCAGCTGTATGACATCATCACCATGCGCTATGCAAACGAGAACATGAACATAGACTTCGACAGCTTTGTCAGCTGTCTGGTTCGTCTCGAAGCCATGTTCAGTAAGTCCACGCACTAAACATCACAGCAGCATCAGAAACCATCATACTACCACCGCCGTGCTCTACTAGTAGATGTGTTGTATTTACTTCAAACATTACCATACCATGCCTTTTTTTCTAAAGCAAATTTTTAAATCCAACATGACAGTTGACCTAAGTGCTGTACAAGTACAAGGATTAAAACAGATAGCACAATCAGCAATAAAACAGAATAACAAAAGAGAGAGTTAATAATGAGAAAATGCCAGGTCCTAAAAGCAGGTCTTTAGTGGTGGCTTAAAATGGGGGAGATAAGGTGCCTATCTAACAGAGAGGGGGTGCATTCCAGAGAGTGGGGGCAAACACGAAAGCCCGCTCCCCCCGTGATCTATATTTCATAGGCAGAACACAAAGCAACAGAGGATCAGCGGACCTAAGTGCCCGATTCGGCACGTAGGGGGTAATCAATCAGCCAGATACACTGGGGCAAGGCCATTCAGAGCTTTAAAAACAAAGGTCAGAATCTTGAACTTGACTCAGAGATTTACAGGTAGCCAATGGAGACGCACCAGGACAGAAGTAACATATTGGTATTAGTCAGGAACCTGGCAGCAGCTTTCTGGACCCTTTGCAGCCTGTTTAAGGTTGAGGTAAGGATACCAAATAGGGTTTAATTAGCATAGTCCAAACAGGAGGTAATTAAAGCGTAAATGATGGACTTCAAGTTCAATCGCTTTAGACGAATTAGTCGGCACAGTTAGAAGAAGAGTGATTTGACCACTGCATTAATCTGGGGAACCATCAAGAAGCCTGCATCCAGTTTGATCCCAAGGCTGGTCACACACTGTTTAAGGTTGAAAGTGAGAGCATTAGGAACGGAAAGAGAGTGAGGGGATTTGTGAGGGTCCATGAGAATTGCTTCAGTCTTGGACTTGTTTAGGTTCAGGAAGTTGTCAGCAAACCAGTCCCTCACCTCTACGAGGCATTGGTCAAGGGGTGAGAGTATTTGAATTATTCATGGCCAGGTAGATCTGACAATCATTTGCATAAAAATGGTAGCTTAGACCATATTTTTCCTGGATTTTGCCCAAGGGGAGGATGTAGATAAAAAAAAGAGGAGAGGCTCAATGACAGAACCCTGTGGCACTCCCCAAGGGACGGGGAGACAAGGAGATGAGCAATCATTAATCTGAACCTTGAAAATTCTGTCAGATAAGTAAGAGCAGAACAACTCAAGGGGGGGTCCCCTGAGCCCCACCCAAGTCTAGAGTCTGTCCAACAGGCTGTGGTAGTCAACTGTGTCAAAGGCAGTGGAAAAGTCTAGTAGAAGAAACAGAACAGAGGGCCCAGAATCAAAAGCCACCAAACTATCATTCATCATCGCATGTACTAGAGCAGATTCAGCGCTATGGAGTGGCCTAAAGCCAGATTGAAGCACATCAAGTAGAGAATTACTCTGAGCTGAGATTTGAGTGTGAGCAATCATCTAGAGAACCTTGGATAAGAAAGACACTTTAGAGATGGGACGAAAATTAACAAAATTCGAATTATCCAGACTTTTTAAAAATCAATTGCACAACATCTTTTTTGATGGACGTAGTAAACAGTAGTGGTTACGCTAAAGTAAAAAAGGTTCAAAGTGGCGAGGTACACAGGTGATGTCACACAGCATCATCTGTGGGTCGGGGAGGCCTCGAGAGAACCTGCTGGTTTCATAGATCAGATTCTCCAGGTCCTTAGGTGATACAGGAGGAAAGATTAAAAAAAAGTCAGATAAATCAACAGGATGGGCCGATGTGACCTTTAATTTGTTAAATCAGGTATAATAATGATCATATTTTCATTACTCATTTGATCTGATTCAAACCAAAACAGATAGCAGAGATTTCTCATTTATACCATTATTGTTCTCTGTCTCACGTGATGTTTCTCCTCTCAGGGGCCTTCCAGGCCTTCGATCAGGATGGAGATGGAACCATTAGACTCAGTGTCCTGGAGGTATGAAGCAGCGAGGCCATCAAAACCAGACAAGCATGATTCTGAACTCCCTCCCCTCAAACACATACACACCATATTGCTTCGTCTTAGAACTTAAACCACCTTTCATTCTTAAATCAGGTATAATGTTCATATTTTCTGAATCTAATGAGACATTTTGTTGTTTTTGTTTTGTGTCCATCTGAAGTGGCTCCAGTTGACCATGTATGCCTAGAGAAGACCATCTTCATCCACAAGGACCAGATCTGCCAGCCTTTACCTCAATTGTCAGTGTGCCCGACAGCCGTTATCTTTCAGCCACCCCCCCCCCTCCCCCAGCTGATTACTTCTCTGCACCAACATGTACTTCCTTTTCATCTTTTCCATCATCTGCAGATGGTCTCGGGCCTCTGGCACTTCCTTCTCTGCTTTTGTCCTCCCATCATCAAAATATCAGTCTCTCTTCAGTCAAAAGCTTTGTTTTTATTTCTAAGAGGTCTCAGCGTGGTAACAAACATTTCTCAGGCAGCAAACACACACAACCTCCTTCCTGGCACAATACCTCAAAAAGCATCAAACATATAGTAACTCCTCCTGTTGCGGTTTGCTAACGATTCATCATTTGTTTTTATCTAACTAAGCAACATTCATCCCAGACCAGCAGGCCTTCCTGCGGACAGATGTCATCATAAACATAACAAATTCACTCAGTCTTTTATTCACTGGGCTTTGCTTTTAATTCATTCCTCCTGGACTAGACTCAGTCCAGTGACAGGGAACAGCGCCCCCGGTGGACCAGCTCATGCTCCCCCTGTTGACCTGAGCTCCAGCCAGGACACCGGTCTGGTCTGCTCCAGCTCCGACACACCAGGCTCAGATATGACGAATGGGTTGGGCTGCAGCTTCTTGTGATTTTCTCATGACGGCATTGGTCAAATGACTGTACAACATTTTTAAACATTTTATTAACACATGAATAAATAAAAAGTCACATTTAGCTGTTGGTTTGCATGCGTTACCAGTAGTTATGACGTGAAACTGTGGGTTTTTTTCTTCAAATGTGCCAGTTTTATTTATCAGCATCAAAATAAATAACACACACTGTTTTCCTGCGTGGAACACAACTTTTATTTTTAATTTATTTTAACCCTTCCACTTTCCTATCAGGTGACCCCGCCAGGACAGGGGGTGGTTAAACAGGGTTCAAAGTTTACGCCTTGGCAGGGGTGAAGTGATGCATCCCTTAAAAAATATTCAAATAAAAAAATTAAAATACACCAGAGGTCCATCTGACCCCATTAACAATGCGGGAGGGTTAAAAAATATTCCTTCACAGCAGTGAAAACAAATGAAAGTGTTGAAGAAACTCAGGATGCCAGGTGAGCTGCTGAAATGTCAGCTTTATTTAGCGTGTCGACCCAGGGAGCTGCAATTTCCAAACCAGAGTTGCAGAACAGAACATCGGCTGGGTCGAGCAGGCGAGGTTTGGCACGAGAGATGACACCGATCTTCTATCAAACACCTTCAATTAACATCCTTTAACTCCACATGTCAAAAAACTCACCACAGCAGAACAAACCTCTTCTGCTCCAACTCTAGACTAAAACAAACCCTGAACACCACTTCACACCGAGTCAAAAAAACTGGTTTCCAATTAAAACTTTTCAATGCACACAGAAGAGAACGGCATAGGAAACACCTGATGGCGCTGCACATGTATATAAAAAACATCTGCACACCTGAGTCTGCATCTAGTGAATAAAACAGAATCTGAGTAAACAGAAAAATAGAGATCAAACAGAAACTAAATCTTCGGATTAGTTAATTCAAAACAAGTCACCACAGTTAAACTTCCAATAACTCCCCCCATCATAAACAGGACTTCACTTTGAGTAAATAAACGTCACTTTGTTAAAGACAAGGAAAACTACAGGTTACCTAACATGACATCACAGCTGCACACAACCCAAACCCCGCCATATCACCACCAGACTAAAAGGTTGGTTAAAGTGAAATGTGCAGCAGATCCCAGCAAACCTGGAATTTCTTCAACAAATGAGTCGTGTGTTTAGCTTTGGTCAGTAAAGAGGAAATGCTGCAGTCAGGCAGGAGGACAGGAAGTGAGTCCGAATGGTTTAAAAGCAGCACATCTCTCCTGTGACCGTCTTACTGTTGGATTCCAACACCAAACATAAAAGATTCTGACATAAAACACAAGTTAGCAGGCTTGGTGGAGGGAGGGGGCTACAAGGCTCCCCAGAACATGCTCTGCCCAATATGGGAGGTCAGCAGGTGTGGGGAAGGTTGCAGGAAAAGGCGGAGGAGTCCCACCAATGGCCCCTACAGCTTGCTATGCTCTTCAGCATGTTTCTGGAGGTGTAACAGCATCACCTGCAAAAGAGGAGGCATCTCGTTAGCTTAGCTTCCCAACAGGAAGTAGGTTACTAGATGCAGGTGAGGGGTAGAAAGATGCAGTGACAATCATTCTGTAATCACAGCCCAACCCTCTGAGTCCTGATCAGATCAAACCAACAGGAGCCTAAAGATCCCCACCCCTACAGTTGCATGGACATGTTTTTATACATAGTGAATGTGTTTGGACAGAGTATAGATCCCTGAGGAACACCTATAGGTAGAGCCAAACTGGTGACCCACAGCTGATACTGACTCTGTTGCCACAAACCACAGCTCAGTACATTTATGACCCAGATCCTGAGAGAACTGAAGATTTTTTATAAGAGGGCTGAAACAAATCATCGAAAGATTCGATTCATTAAATTCCTTGATTCATTTTTTTCAAAGCTTCGTTAGATGTATGCTCCACAGTCTGAACATGTTACTGGTGCACTATGTGGTGATCTAGGTGCTGTGGAGGAAAATAGAGAAACTAGCAAACACACAAACCATTGTAACAGGCAGAAACGGAAAGTTTGGGATCAAGAGTTAAACTACGAGTAGAATTGCTAATGCCAAGTCAACGGGTAGCACTCTCACGAGCGAGTGTGGTTTCGAAAAACGTGATGATTGTGAACAACTAAACTCTAAAAGCTGATTGTGAACGACAAAACTCTACAAGCGGAAGAAAAATCCCCACCATCCTGTTCATGTGTGGATGTCTGCAGTGATGTGGAGCAGAGCTGCTGCAGCTAGTCTGGTTGTTGCTTTGAGTCTGCACCATACACTGCAGTAGGTCTACGGAAAGCCGTTGTGGCACATAATTCAAAAATGCTTTTATAAATGGAGCCCAAGTCACACCCATCTACTTCCGGACCATGGATCGTCAGAAGAACAAAAAAATGAATGAAAGTCAACGGGACTAAAAACAGTATTTTCTAATTCCGTTTGTTTTGTGCCTTGGAAATCACATATAACATCTGTGAATTTTAAAGAAGCTTTTTGATACCAAGAACTCGCTTATTTTCGAACAGGGGTGAAACGCTATTTTAGGTTTTGTGTGAAATTGAGTCCAGAACTACAAATGCGCTTCATGAAAGCGACATCATCGAGCCAGACATGGAGAAAAACTGAGGGAAAAGTTCAGCAAACTTCAAATCCTTCCTTCCTTCAGGAGGAAAGAACCACCATAAATCTGGCCGTGTGGTAAGTAGCAGCTATGCTAGCGGAGAGGAGATTATGTCATGACGTCATACATGCGACGTGTCGATGTCCGATTTGTAGTCATGCTAATTATGAACTTTTAAAAGCTCCCTATTTGAATACAATTTAGACTAGATTATGTTGCCAACCTGTACATAATAAAACCTGCATACATCACACGTCACATGATCAGAAGGCAGAACATCCATGTGTTAGGAGATCGTTTTGGGCCGTTCCTGTAAAAAAAAAAGTGAGGTGCGAACCGGAAAGCTTCTGCCGATCACAATTCGACAATGGATTATGAAAAAAAAGGATAACGCTCTGAGTCTTCATGATGTAAGAGGTGAGTCGCTTTGTTTTGGCGTCGACATCATCCTAGCGCGCAACGTTCTGTGACTCTTAAAAAAACAGTACAAACACTGAGAAACGCTGGCAGCGAAGGGCTTTACTGATCAGGAAACGGCTGGCAGTGAATGAGTTAAATATAAAATAATATGTATTAAATATAAAAATGTTTTTTCCTATTTTTAGCAGCAGATTCGTTTCACTTGAAATGTCGTCAAATTGAATACTCGATTAATCGATGGAAGATTCGATAGAATATTTGAATACTTAACACACCCACATCACCCCGCTTCTCCTCCAGCTTCACTGGCTGCCAGTCAACTTCAGGGTTCATTTCAAGATCCTGGTTCTGGTCTATAGGGCCTTACATGGACAAGCACCATCTTACATTAGCGATCTTCTCAGTCCCTATACCCCCAGCAGGTCCCTGAGGTCCAGTGATCAAAGCCTACCGTGGGCGACGGTGGCACAGGAGTTAAGTGCTCGCCCCGTAATCGGAAGGTTGCAGGTTCGAGCCCCGCTCAGTCTGTCGCTGTCGTTGTGTCCTTGGGCAAGACACTTAACCCACGTTGCCTGCTGGTGGTGGTCGGAGGGACCGGTGGCGCCAGTGCTCGGCAGCCTCGCCTCTGTCAGTGCGCCCCAGGGCAGCTGTGGCTACATCGTAGCTCATCACCATCAGTGTGAATGTGGGTGTGAATGGGTGAATGACTGATTGTGTTGTAAAGCGCCTTGGGGGGTTCCAGGACTCTAGAAGGCGCTATATCAAATACAGGCCATTTACCATTTTACTGGTTGTGCGGCAAAGACCAAAGGTGACAGATCATTTGCTGCTGTGGCCCCCAGACTCTGGAACTCTCTCCCCCTGAGCCTGAGATCAGTGGACTCAGTGGTCTCCTTCAAACAGCAGCTGAAAACTCACTTGTTCAAGCTGGTTTTGGTGTGACCTTCATCACCCTCTCCTTGTTCTGCTCTCCCTAGCTATTCCACCTTCCTCAGGATCCACTGATTTACCTCTTTCCTACTCACTCTCTCCATTTCTTTACACTTTTGAATCACAATTGTCTATTTTGACTCATTTTAAAAATATTTTTAATCATTTTCTAAATTATTTTTCTATTTTACATTTTTTGTTTTTGTGAAGCGCCTCGTGATTTTTATCTTGAGAGGCGCCATAGAAAAGATCTTTTCTTCTTCTTCCAAAATATTCAATAGGTGCAGCCCTGAGTGAAAACACTAAGATGATTTGTGGGCTTTAAAGGCAGCTGAACGGTAAAGAGAATCCACTCAGGTCACCTTACTCCCAGTAAAATGTTGTCCAGATTAAGGTGATGTTTATGACTGAAGCACCACAAACAAAATAAACCCCGTTCTTCAGTGGTGTAAGAGCTGCTAAAGGTTTGTCTACCTGCTTGTTGCGTCGACAGAAAAGCTCCTCGCAGTTCTTCCAGCGACACTTCATCGTCTGGAAGTTGGCACCGATGTGGTCGCTGATCAGGTGCTGCAGCAGATGATCCCTCACTCCGAAGACCAGCCAGCAGCCGTGCCACTGCCAACACAACACTTTACTTATTACAATACACACATGCACGCTCCTACACACACACACACACATGCACGCACGTGCAGTTGGGTCTCCCAGATAAATCAGGTGGCTCAAAATAAGCTATATATTTATATAAATAAAGTGTTTATATTTTCTTTTTTGTGCATTCAAAACTAAATCACATCACAGTGAAAGAGCCAGCGGGTGCATTTTAAACCCGAGTCAGCCCAGGTCCCGGTCTTACCCAGCAGCGGTGGTTCTGCATCAGGTTCAACTTGATGGCCTGAACGGTGCCATCGTAACAGCCAGAGTAGATCTGAAACAAACCACATTTGGTTCCTTTAATCTGACAAGCTGAGAGCCACAAGCTAATTCCACGGAGGTGCTACTAGAGGAGGGTCCAGGTGTTTCCTCACCATGTTTTTGTGGACGGCCATACACAGCACCATGTCTTCGTGTCCAGCATAGACCTGCAGCAGCTCCTGAGACTGTGGACAGAAGCAGCTGATTGGTTAATGAGCAATTCAACAGCCTCTGCTTTCAGCACCAGTAACTGAACTGGTGAGAGAAGTGGTTCATCTGCCACAAAGGAACGTTATACTGGAAAGCAGACCTGCAGGTCGTAGACCCGGACCAGTTTGTCTAGGCAGGCGGTGACCATCACTTTACCCAGGACAGTCACCACGGTAACAGCATGGCTGTGCCCCTTATAGACTCGGACAAGCTCCCCCGTCTGATACGGAGACAAGAAACAAAGTAAACAAAAGCTATAAAAAACAAACACACCAGTGTGCCTGTGTGTGTGTATGTGTGTGTGTGTGTGTGCGCGCGTGCGTGCGTGTGTGTGTGTGTGTGATTGTGTGTGTGTGTGTGAACTCACATGGATGTTGTGAGCGTACACAGAATGATCGCTGGATCCACTAAAGACCAGATCGTTAACCACCTGAAAGGAAACAGAAACGAGAATTTTAAATAACAAATAAAAATATTTGTCATAAATTGTTTATTTGCTAAAAGGGCAGCAGCTGTTCCTACAGCAGCAGCAGAGCGTCAGCGGACAGATGTTCTTCTGTTCACCCCACCAGCGTCTGAGACGGTTCTGTTCTTTCACAGACTCTCCCTCCAGAAGCTGTGAACTATCTGATCTATTAAACCAGCTTCCACCTGCTTATTTAAATCTATTTGGTCATCTTTAAAGTATTTTCAATGACAAGGATTCAGCTGAGGCCCACCGTCATACAGAGGACACTCTTGGTGTGGCCCTTCAGCGTGCGCAGCAGCAGTCCGTGCTTGGCCGCTCTCACGCTGATGGTGCTGTCTGAGGAGCCAACCAGCAGGATCCTCTGGGCTCCCTCCTGAGACGAGGCCAGGCAGCTCACGCCACGCGGTCCGTGGCACTCGAACACATCCATCTGCTTGTTTGTCTAAACAATCAGAAACAACAAATAGATGTTAAAAAACACTAGCAGAGATCGGGAGGATTTTAGACGGACTTCTAAAAAACCTCTAACAGGTTAAACGCTGTTGCTCTTTTGTCAGCTGGTGTGTGTGGGTGTGTAGGGTGTAACTCCTGGTGAATGTGGTGTTAAACCATCACAGGTGAATAAAGAGCATTCACAACCAACGACTGTTGTTTAAAACGGAGCTTATAAATAAAGCTTGCTGCCCTGTGGTCTGCAGAGATAAACTGTCTCCCAGACTGTGATCTTCTACAGAAACTCACAGTAACAGGTTTTTAAATGGTTAATGTTCTGAAGGTCTGTGGTCTGCAGGTCTGGGCTGGACTGAGCCTTGGTTTAAGCCAGGGGTGGGGAACCCCAGTCCATCGAGGGCCGCTATCCAGCATATTTTAGTTTCAACCCTGCATCATCACACCTGATTTCAATCAGCAGGTGATAAATAATAATAATAATAATACATTTTATTTCAACAGCGCCTTTCTGAACACTCAAGGACACTTTACAGAGATAAAATACACAACAATAAAAGATAAAACAACATAAAACAAACAGATAGATTGGAGCAAAGAGAGTAACTATTGGAATGCTAGACGGAACAGGTGAGTTTTGAGTCTGGTTTTAAAGAGAGTGAGGGAATCAATGTTACGGAGGTCAGGAGGGAGTGAGTTCCAGAGCTGGGGAGCAGAGCGACTGAAGGCCCTGCTCCCCATAGTGACCAGACGGAAAGGTGGGACAGAGAGGTGGATGGAGGAGGAGGACCTGAGGGAACGGGTGGAGGTTGAAGGATGAAGGAGGTCTGAGAGGTACGGTGGAGCTAGGTTATGGATGGCTTTGAATGTATATAGCAGAATTTTGAATTGGATTCTGGAAGTGACTGGGAGCCAGATTAACAGGCGTCTGCAGATCTTGATGAGCTGCAGAACAGGTGAATCAACCACTGAATCAGAAGTGTTGGAGTAAAGACATGCAGGACACCGGCCCTCGAGGACCAGGGTTCCCCACTCCTGGTTTAAGCCTTTATCGATCCTAAACAACTCAGATCAAACTACCCTGATCAAAAGATCTCTAGTGTTTATATCATGTGTTTCCCAATGGAGTTTGACACTACTAATGTGACTGTTTCAAGCCCTAAACACAATGAAAAGTTGCCTCTTCCCTGAGAATTCTCACCCTGAGATTGAACGTCACCACCGTGCCGTTTGCCAGGCCGGCGTATAACGTCTTCCATCGGCTGTGAAGGCAGAGGACTCGGTCCGGCAGAGAGAACTGCTGCTCCAATTCTTGTGTCTGCAGACAACCAGCAACATGAGATCCCACTGGCTGCTCATCCAAACAGGACTTATTTATTTATGATACCTTCAGACTGTAGCAGCGGATGGTCTGGTCACAGGAAGCAGAATAAAGCCGGCGGTAGAGGCTCGGAGCTGTTGATATCAGCAGGCAGGTCACTTTGGAGCTGTGGCCTTCAAACACACCCACACACTCGTGACTCTGCAACGGCACAAAAACTGTTCTTTCAATGAAAACTATGACCCGGAGCAGCAGGGGGGTCCCCTCACCACATCACTCACCACCAGGTCGAAGGCTCTGACGGTGCGATCTCCTGAACACGTGTACAGCAGCCCGTTTTGGATCTGGAGGGCGTTGACCACCTCCCGGTGGCCGTCAAAGACGCCTTCAGTCGGCAGCTCGTCGTCACACTGATCAGAGAACACATCTGGGACAAAAACACACAGGAAATAACCCAGAATGCATCTGCAAAGCAGGAAATCCAACTAACAAGGGACATTTCTAATCATAATAATTGATTAATAATTCTAATGAGACATCTTGAAAGAAACCATAGATAAACACACCTGAGGAGTTTTTGGGCAAAGTCACGGCAAACGGCAAATCACTGCAGGGAGAAAACAGTTTAACATTAGGCTCATTACAAAATCGCATCTGTTATTGTGTACAAGTACTACTATCACCATCTTTATTATTATTAATATTATAGTGTTGGAATATGGCATTTATCCTATTAAACACCTTTAGTTACGTTTTTGGCTGCAAAACTGTCATTAATAAATAAAAGTGTTGACTAAACTGTTTAGAGACACCTGCTGCTGACTGAAATTTACTTCATTTTAATACAAACACTGGTCCATCTGTAGAGGATGTCGTTGACTGATTGATTTTTATTTGCATTAATAATAAAATATTCAGGGAAACACAAAAAAAGTGTAAAACGCTTGTTTCTACTGTGTTTTCTTTCCAGTTGCTTTCCAGCGGCAGAAGGCATTCTGGGAAGCTTTAGCTGTCGAGGACTCACCTCTCGGAGGATTTACACACATCCATGTCACTGGTGGAGGAGAGCTTATTGCAGGCCAGGCTCTGTGGCTCCATGGTTGAGGGGGGGGCTGGGGTTTGGTGCTGCTGACAGGCGGTGGTGACCTCCATACTCTCCTCTTCATCCAGATCCTCCACCGGACCAGCGGCAGCTGCTTGGGGAAGCTCCACCATTTGTTTGGGAGAATGTTGGTCCTTCTCAGGTTTTAGAGCAGGAAAAGGATTCTTCTTGTTTCCATCTTTGCCCGTGTGAACCTCTCGGTCATCGGTAGGCTGACTGGAGGTGCTGACCTGGGAACCTCCACTGGGTCTCCTGCGCTGTCTCCACCTGGGCCTCAGGGCCTCGTCGTCCATCTCAGTGTCACTGCTCTCAGGCCGCTCCATCCCCAGAGCCTTTTTCAACGCTTTCCTTTTCTTGAGCTTCCTCACCCGGTTTCCAGTCCCCAGCTCAGAGGGAGAAGCTGGAACATGGGGAAGTGAGGTGGACCGCCGAGACTGACGGTCTGCACAGTCAGCAGCGCTCCCGGGCTCAGAGCCTCCTCTGCAGGACGACAGGGGCTTCATGAAGGTTTGGTAGTCAGATGAGATGCTGTAGTTACTCGTGGTTGTCTCCAGCTGTCCAGGTGACCTTTCTTTGCCACCTGCTGGCTGTGCACAGATGGTGTGGTAAGACTCGGGCCGTCTTGCAGGAGAAGACTGGAAGTTACAGGCAGAACCTGCAATCTTCTCTATGAAAATGGACAGAAGTCAAATTTATGAAGTTTTAATCAACTTTTTATTTACCTAAAAACATAACAAAGATTATTAAAGTTCATTTAAATTAGAAATGTTAAAATGTTCAGTAGCAGGTGCAGAACATGGATTCTTGGCAGCAGCAGGAGAGGCTCAAAAGCATTAGTGGGATTTTCAGGTTTCTGTACCGTCTATAAATATTGAGGCACAATAACCGGGGAATGTCTAAACTCTCCATTCACAAGTGTTTCTAATTTCCTAATGAAGGTGCATGAAGGCAAAGCTCTCGATTTACCGGGTGCTCTACGTTCCTACCCTCACCTACGGTCACGAGCTTTGGGTAGTGACCGAAAGAACGAGATCGCAGATACAAGCGGCCAAAATGAATTTTGTCCACAGGGTGGCTGGGCTCTCCCTTAGAGTTAGGGTGAGAAGCTTGGTCATCCGGGAGGGGCTCTGAGAAGACCCGCCGCTCCTCCACATTGAGAGGAGCCAGTTGAAGTGGCTCGGGGTTCTGATTAGGATGCTTTCTGGACGCCTCCCAGGTGAGGTTTTCCGGGCACGCCCAACCGGGAGGAGACCTAAAGGAAGACCCAGGACACGCTGGAGGGACTACGATTCTCAGCTGGGATTCCCCGGAGGAGCAAGTCCAAGTGGCTGGGGAGAGGGAAGTCTGGGCCTCCCTGCCAAGGCAAGGCAGCTTTATTCATAAAGCACATTTCATACACAGAGAAAATTCAACCTGCTTTCCAATGAGCAAGAACAGCAAGAACATTGAAATCAATGTGACAGCACGATTAAAATACACACAAATTTTATTTAGATTTAAAAATTTTAAAGAGAAAGACAAAGGCTGATGCCCCCGTGACCCCACCCCAGATAAGTCAAGGAAAATGGATGGATGGATGAAACGTCAGGAAGAGCCAGCTGTAAATAAAATTAGGCCAAAATCGGAACAAACGGATATTTAAATAAGACGCTTTGTGACTAAATTGGGACAACAGAAGGTGTACGACAGTTACGTGTTGTGTGAGAGGGCCAAATTAAAACTCATCTCTGACATGTTCTTCTGTGAGATCATCACCGCCAGGGTGTGAAAGGGTGAAAGACTGATTGTGTTGTAAAGTGTCTTGGGGGGTTTCAGGACTCTAGAAGGTGCTGTTTCAAATACAGACCATTTACCAAGTGAAGAATCTACACTTCCGCACTAGCCCATCCCAGAGCAAGACTTGGGTTTTGCTACACCTCCACCAGAGGGACTAACTGGAAACGTAACACACCAGTTTAACCACAGTGGGTGAGGTCTAGTACCAGCAGAACCACTATCCCTTGACTGATCCGGTTACCTGGGGGTGCCATTGGATGAGCGGCGGGCAGCTCTGGAGTTGGACTGTGCGCATCATGGGTTCTGACGCTCCGAGGGTCCGGCTCTGAGCTGATGTGGACCGGTGACTTGGGCTCCTCTTTGATAACCACCGACAGAGGTAGGCTGGAGGACGGAGGAGAAGGACGTCCCGCAGCAGGGCTGGTACAAGTGTTGTCCAGAACAGAGGAGGGCAGGACAGACGCTTCACACAGATCTACCCTCTCTAGTTTCAGCGTTACCTCGGGGGCTTCCTCTACAGCACCTGAAACAAAACCAGGTTCACTCCACACGTTTTCTAGAATCGTAGCAGTTATAATCAGAACGAAAAGCAAAATCTGTAGTTTATTATAGCAAAGACAGGGAAAAAAATTATAATCAGGAATATTTTGGCCAAGGCTGAAGTCACAATAATTAATTAGTCTTTGTGAGTTGGGGAACATGGATTTATTTCACGTGACTCGTCAAAATAAGAGCATTCGCTCAATCCTAGAGGTCTAGATTGTATAATTTGGCCTGGATTCACGTCACTAAAGAACAGCTGTAGATTTTAAATGATTATCTTCATAAATAAACATCTTTATAACTAATGGGGTTGGTCTTTCCGATGTTGCAAAGTCTGACCCCAAATTCACACCGGAGGCATCAGTGGCGCGTAACGCCACTGCTTTATTAAAGTCCACAGGGTTGATCCAAACCAGCGCATCTCAGAAGCAGCGCGCTGCGCTGTGCCGCTAAAGATAGGATTGGGTTCTAGTTTTGCCACAGGCCACTTCTGGGACGAGTCCATTTCCACAGTTAAGGCAGGGCTAGACAGGAAGTCACACATGGTTTCAGTGTAAACCGTCAAAAGATTTCCCAAATAAAAGACTATTGTGATTTCTTATCTGTGTAGATTACGTCAACGCATGTGCCCTAAGGGCTTATTTACCACCGGCATCTTTAAAGAAGTGCAACGGTGTGTTTTTAATGGCTTTAATCTTGGCAGTGGAGAACAACATCATACTGACCCTTTGCACAAGACGTCACACCACTCATGTGGCCGCCCCCTTTGCCATGATGGACGGCAAAAAGACCGTTTACATCCATAGAAACTCCAGTGAAGGTAGTCAAAACAAGCCAGTTTGTAGCCTTTTGTCGCTTTTATTTAGTTGATTTGACAGTAAAATGGTTTTCGCTTGCTGCGTGGTTGGCTGCACTAAGACACAAGGACGTAAACTCAACTCGTTTTTTCTTTTTAATAACTTTGATGGAGACTGAGGATGGAGATGAACTGCAGCGATCAATCAATCAAGCGTACCAGCAGGCCTCTGATTTGCAGCTCGACACACGGGAGGCGACATCGCCTCTCCTCCATTCATTTTCAACGAGACATGCGAGACAAAGCGATAACCGCGGGTCTCCCTCCTACTAAGCAAAACGAGAAAAACGTGTGTGAAATTTTGCGCTCGTGCACGTGTCGTGCACAGGCGACCCAGCAACGCGATCCCAGAAAGTTGAAACATTTTCAACTTTTCATCGCTGTCGCTCGGACGAGGACCAATCAACGGAGGTTTCATTCACTGACCAATGAGCGGACAGGATGCTCCATACACCTCCGAGCAAACATGGAGGAGAAGTTGATTATTATTATGTTTTATAGTAAAATCACAAGTAAGAGGTCACATAACTCTAGCAGCACCTTGTGAAACATCATATCTACCGCTTTATTAACTCTGAACTGCTAAAATAACCTTAATTCCCTCCAACCTGACAGAGACAAACAAAACAACGGAAGTTTAGATTTGACGTACTGTGGCCAATTATTGAGCAGGCTTGCAAGGAGAACAAAAAGACCTACTACGTCGGATGTCGAGGTTTTGCGAACGGGACAGAAGTTTTTCCGTCCTCAGAATGAAAATGGAGAATAATGGGTAAATAAGAAAGAAGGTTAAAACTACCATGTAGTACAACTGCTTATGTTTGTTGTTTATTTTAATGCACTTTATTTTTTGGTTATTGAGAAGTTAATGTTATAACACTTTTACCAAATTATTTTCATAAATGCAATGCTCGGTCCCCTTTTGATACGTACTTTTCTATTAAACACTATCTACGTATTAGTTCTATTTAAATTTCTAATTGTTCAGTTTTTGTTTTCTATACTGTCATTCTCCATTGTTTCTCTTAATGCCAGGGGGTTAAAACAAACTTGTAAACATAAAGCTCCATTTTTGTTTGCTAAAAACATCATAGTGATTTCTGTTTTTTCCAAGAAAGCCATTCTGTTTCTATTGACGTGAACTTCTGGAAATCCCAGTGGGGTAACGATATCTGGTGTTCGCATGGCTCAGAGAGGTCAGCTGGGGTCACAACTCTCAAAGGTATTTTCGGTGGTACTGTTCTACAATCAGACTGTGATTCCTTAGGTCATTATATTTGTCTGGTAGTCGAATACAATCACTACATCTTCATAATTCTTAATGTATATGGTTATTGACTCATTAAATACGATAATTACTTTTTGGCTCTCTAGATATCCTAGCTCACTTTTGTTAATAGGCGGAGATTTTAATGTTTCGCTCAATGATACTATAGATAGATGGCCCCCAGCACAATGTTTTAAAAGTAACTTGAGGATGGAAGCATTTATTGATAAATTTAATGTAACTGATATTTGGAGAGAGAAATTTCCTGATGATATATCATTTACATGGAGTAACCACTCTGGTTCAAGGAAATCACGTATTGATTTTTGGTTAATTTCTAAAAATCTGTCCAAAGATAGCATAACGCTCAATATCCTTACAACGCCACTTACTGACCATAGAGCAATATACATCAATTCACAATTTCTTCCTACTGAAAATATTAATAGATCTTCATATTGGAAGTTGAATAGTTCACTTTTGAACCATACATTTGTAAAAGCTGAAGTTACACCATTGTTAAAACACTTTATCAACAAGGGTAATATTAAAAAGTCTTACAGTATAAACTGGGAACTATTTTAATTTGAAACAGGTAAATTTTTGAGACAGTATGGGGCAAAAATAGCTAAGGCAAGATCAGAAGAGGAAGAAAAATTAATTGTTCAAATTTCATCAATTTATCAACTACCACAGATGAAGTCTCAGAGGAGGATAAGTTGCAACTTAGGACCCTTCATTCTAAACTTGACGAGCTTTATCGCCAGAAAGCTGAAGGTGCTTTTGTTCATTCAAGAAAAAAAATGGATAGAGGAAGGAGAACAGAACTCTGCTTATTTTTTCCATTTAGAAAAATATAGATCTAAATCCAATGCTATCCATCAGTTGAACATTAATGGTACAATCACTAATGATGCCAAAACCCTCTCTCAATTTTGCTGTAAATTTTACTCAAAGTTGTATGAATCAAAATATAAGGCAAATGTTGCTACTCAGTTCATCGACTCTGTAAATAATATAAGAGTAATAAAAACTGCAGATAGGCTTTATTGTGACTCCTCCTTGAACCGTCACCTTATCGTGGTGGAGGAGTTTGAGTGCCCTAATGATCCTAGGAGCTATGTTGTCTGGGGCACTTAGTGCCCCTGGTAGGGTCTCCCATGACAAATTGGTCTTAGGTGAAGGGTGAGACAAAGAACGGTTCGAAGGATCTTTCATGGCGGTTAAAACGAAGAGTCGGAGTACCCGGCCCGGAGGGTTACCGGGGTCCCACCCTGGAGCCAGGCCTGGGGTTGGGGCCCGTGAGCGAGCGCCTGGTGGCCGGGCTTTCGCCCATGGGGCCCGGCCGGGCCCAGCCCGAACCGGATACATGGGCTCGTCCAACTGTGGACCCACCACCCGCAGGAGGAACATGAAGGGTCCGGTGCAATGCGAATCGGGTGGCAGACCAAGGCGGGAGCCTTGGCGGTCCAATCCCCGGACAAGAAAACTAGTTTTTGGGACATGGAACGTCACCTCGCTGGCGGGGAAGGAGCCGGAGCTTGTGGCAGAGGTTGAGCGGTACCGGCTAGATATAGTCGGACTCACCTCGACACATTGCATTGGCTCTGGAACCCGAGACCTGGAGAGGGGTTGGACACTCTACTTTGCTGGAGTTGCTCCGGGTGAGAGGCGGGGGGCTGGGGTTGGCTTTTTGTTAGCCCCGAGACTCTCTGCCTGTGTGTTGGGGTTTACCCCGGGGGACAAGAGGGTAGCTTCCTTGCGCCTTCGGGTCGGGGAACGGGTCCTGACTGTTGTTTGTGCTTATGGGCCAAATATCAGTTCAGAGTACCCACCCTTTTTGGAGTCCCTGGGACGAGTGCTAGATAGTGCTCCATCAGGGGACTCCATTGTCCTGCTGGGGGACTTCAATGCTCACGTGGGCAATGACAGCTTGACCTGGAGGGGTGTGATTGGGAGGAACGGCCCACCTAATCTGAACTCGAGCGGTGTTTTGTTATTGGACTTCTGTGCAAGCCGCAGTTTGGCCATAACGAACACCATGTTCGAACATAAGGATGCCCACCGGTACACTTGGTACCAGGGCAGCCTAGGTCACAGGTCGATGATAGATTTTGTAGTCGTATCATCTGACCTGCGGCCGTATGTTTTGGACACCCGAGTGAAGAGAGGGGCGGAGCTGTCAACTGATCACCACCTGGTGGTGAGTTGGATCAGATGGCAAGGGAACATGCCGCGTAGACCTGGCAGACCCAAACGCATAGTGAGGGTCTGCTGGGAACGCCTGGCAGAAGAACCTGTCAAGACGGTCTTCAACTCCCACCTCCGGCAGAGCTTTGACCACGTCCCGAGAGCAGTGGGGGACATTGAGTCCGAGTGGGCCTTGTTCCACTCTGCGATTGTCGAGGCGGCTGTTGCTAGCTGTGGTCGTAAGGTGGCCGGTGCCAGTCGTGGTGGCAACCCCCGTACCCGCTGGTGGACACCAGAGGTTCGGGGAGCCGTCAGGCTGAAGAAGGAGGCCTACAGGGCGTGGCTGGTCTGTGGGTCTCCGGAGGCAGCAGACAGGTACCGGATAGCCAAGCGGGGTGCAGCAGTGGCAGATGCCGAGGCAAAATCTCGGGCGTGGGAGGAGTTTGGTGAGGCCATGGAGAAAGACTATCGATCGGCTCCAAAGAGGTTCTGGCAAACTGTCCGGCGCCTCAGGAGAGGAAGGCAGCAACTCGCTCACACTGTTTACAGTGGGGATGGGGAGCTGCTGACGTCAACTGAGGCTATAGTCGGACGGTGGAAGGAATACTTTGAGGAGCTCCTCAATCCCACCAATGCGCATTCCGAGGAGGAACCAGAGCTGGGAGGC